CATGTCAACATTCATGAGCATCACTCATGTCAACATTTATGAGCATCACTCATGTCAACATTCATGAGCATCACTCATGTCAACATCCATGAGCATCACTCATGTCAATCAACATAAACATTCATGAGCATAACTCATGTCAATCAGCTTCGAAAGCTTTATTTACAGAGCTCCAGCTTCGAGAGCTCCAGCTTCGAGAGCTCCAGCTTCAAAAGCTTCATTTACAGAGCTCCAGCTTCAAAGCTTCACTTTAAAAGCTTCACCTACAAAGCTTCATTGCATGGTATACAAAGACTGCCTCTGAACAACTGCCACTTCGGCCCATACTTGGATTGAATTTGAAGTCTCCAGCCAACAGCCTCTATTGACTAAAGACTTGGGGGACTACACTATGTACCATATATTGGGTTTCTACAACTGGGCCTCATGATAAATACTTGGGGGACTTAGCCCATTATTTATGTACTAAGGAGCGAACCCTTATTTAATAAAATGGACCCCCTCACTTTCATTAGAGAGCACCCATTATTCATATATTGAGGAGCGAGCCCGTATTCTATAAAAGGGACTCCCTCAGCATCATTAGAGAACATCGCCGCCTACTGAGCAACTGCCTCGCCGCGAGCATCAACTCTAGCCTATCATTTATGTATTGAGGATCGAGCCCTTATTTTATAAAAGGGACTCCCTCACCTTCAAACGCCACAAGCCGAGGCAACCAAGGCAACATAAGCCACAAGCCGAGCAGCCTCGCAACATGTGCTACTTTTAATTGAGCATCATTTCAGATTAAGCACCGCCTCATATCGAGTATCAGTTCTAGACGACATCTAGTTACTTCGGCCCACACATGGACTGAATTTCAAGTCTGCAGCTAAAAGACTCTCTTGACTGAAGACTTGGGGGACTACTGTTTGTACCATACTTAGGGCCTCCGTATTTAGACCTCGTATAAATACTCGGGGGACTCAAATATAATTATGTAATGAATGAAGGGGCAAATATGTAATAAGTGATGAGCCATTCTTCTATAAAATGACTCCTCACTCTCCTCATTAGGAGAGGCTAAGTCTTAGGTCATGGAAAGAGAGCACACAGAAAATAGGCTAGAGAGCACACTACCTCTAGCCTTCTTGTATACACTGCATCTAGCCCTCTTGTATATTCACCATTCAGAGTGAAACAATATCAACATCAATGTGGACGTAGCCCAAACATTGGGATGAACCACGAAACATCTTGTGTTATTTACTTTCTTGCAGATTCACGGTCGGATTTACGTTGTTCCAAGACCCCTCCGGTTTTGTGCATCAACAATGTTAAACTTCGTTTTGTAATGCAGCAAAGTAAGGGTAAAAGATGTCATTCTTTGTTTTTTAAGTAAATGTTTTCTGTAAACTTTTCTCTTCATGTGAGAGTTCATTCTCTCTTCTTAAGAGTCTTTTCCACCATCTGTGTGTGAGTGATTCCCTCATCGATTAAAATCGTTGCCGACGGGCCTCGCTGTGGTGGGGGTCGGCGGAAAGGTTTTTGTTTTGCTTTCTGTTTTTCAGTTTTTTTGTTACTGTTCCTCCCAGTTCTTCCTGATTTACCCAAAATATCTCTACCCAACGCCTGTCTTCCCCACATACTTTCAACTCGATCTGCAATCAGATTTCAAAGCACATGGTTGCGATCTTTTGAGAGGGTGCGTAGAACTCTGGTGGACTCATCGGCTCGGGTGTTTAACACACCACCTCATTCTCATTCTCTCTGTCTACCTTCGTTGGCAGTGTCGTTTGGGGTGTTCCCACAGACTTCTTCCACTTTCTGGCTGAGATTGGGGCGATCGGTACAACTTTCGTGGCTGGGTTCTGCGGAGCTGCTTGATTGGATTTGGCATTGGCTGAAGGATTTCTTCTGGGTTAATCCGGTAAACTTTGAAGGTGGTGGATGCTGAGGTCTTGAAGCTTCCTTTGTTTTGTTTGTAGGGCTGGGCTCTTTTTTGAGCTTTGGTGGGTTTGTTAAGAGGCCTATTTGTGTGTATGTATCTAGTTTGTATGTGGGCCTCTGTTTGTAATCTAAAGTTTGGAATAAAATTGTCTCATTTCTTTGGAAAGGTTCTTCCAAATGAAAGAAAAAGTAAATGTTGTCTGTACGGTGGTTTACCCTCTGAAACTACTAAGCATTTGTCAATTTTATATCTTCAAAGACCTATTGAAGGATTTATGTTGAGGCATCTATGCCGAAGTACATGAATTTCTCTCCAATCAAGAGACCAATCATAACATGAATGTGTCAAAACCAGAACAAAGCTCCTATATAAGGTCCCACATTAAACACGAACGAAAACAAGGGACTCTCCTCAACTATAGAAAGACATCATTCTAACACAATTGATCTTTGATGATCTCATTCTACTTAACCCATTATTAGAACTCACTAATAATTATTATGCTTAAATCTTTGTATCATGTGATCTCTACATTTATTAATGAGAACTCTTATCCTCATGGACGTAGGCAAAATTAGGGTGAACCATCTACATCTTGTGTATGCTTCCCTATCTCTCTCTCTTTATATCTTACCTTCACTGGGTGACCAAAGCAACCTTACAAAAACCACGCCTTGACACTTTACGCTTTTTCAAAATCAACCTGATATTGTGCATCAACAAATGTCATACCGAGTACATTTAATGATTGTATTACTATATGGAGTGCATTGCTCCCACTGAACCACTCATATAATCAGGTTGCATATTTCCCAAGGAGTGTGTCTAAAAACCTGGGACATGTTTATGATTGTTTAAGTTACTAAATTATTAGCACTTGTACATATTTTACAGTTAAGGTCAAGTAAAAACCTGATTTGGCCGCATTTGGTGGTATCTTTTGAGATTTTATGGGTAATTCTCTTGGTTGTTTTGCGGGTTCAATAGGCTTGGCCTCTTCTTTGGATACTGAACTACGTGCTGTTATTCATGTTGTATCTTTAGCTTGGGATAAAGGTTGGCATTCCTTATGGATTGATTGTGACTCCTCATTGGTTGTTCATATTCTTTCTTCATCCTCACCTTCCTTGACATCTATCCCTTGAAGGCTTTTGGTTAGTTGGCATAACCATCGAGTTTTACTATCCTCCATGCAGATTCAAATTTCTTATATTTTTAGAGAGGGTAATCAAGTTGCTGATTGTTTGGTCAATTATGGTGTTATCACCCCGGTGTCCATTGGTGGGATTCATGCCCTCCTTGTGCTACAGCTGCTTATTCTCACAACCTTTCTAAGCTTCATTGTTATAGGTTTTTTCTGAAAGAGGTATTTGTTATGTTTGGCTCATATACTTATGAGTTGGCAACAATTTTGATAGTGTAACTTTCTGAGTGCTACAGGGAAATAACAGTAGCCACTTTGTGTTTGGCTTTCGGTTGTGGCATGGATGTCTTGTTTCAAGAGAAGACATGGTGACTACCACAAGCAAAGTTGGAAGCAAGACTTGACTTTGTAGTTGCTTGCACACAATTGTGCATGTTTTATTTTATATGTATTAAATGACAAATGGAGAAAAGTTGTACTTTATAGACTAGGTATAGACTTTGATGCATGCTAGGTAGGCTAGGTGATAATTATGTCATGTGAACTTAAGACTTTTTTGTCTTGTTTGTTGGCATAGTTGCTAGTGTATGCCTATAACTAGATGCAATATTTGTGCATTTAGAAATGCATTGAGAGAGCATCCGAAGGAGAACACAAAGGAGAGAAAATATAGAGTGAGAGTGAGAAACTCTTGGTGAGAGTGAGGCTCTTATTAAAATTCTGTGAGGGTACAAGAGATTGGGGTTTGGGTTATGTTGATTTAACTCAAGTGTATCTTGTACTAGTTATTCTCATAGTGAAGAGCAATATCTCTTGGAGGACGTAGGTAGATTTTTGCCGAACCTCGTAAATTTCTCTGTGTATTTATTTCTTGTAATTTAAACTGTTCAACTGTGGGTCTGTAGTTTGGTGAGACAATCTGAATCTCACTTCCGCACTGATAAACGGCCAAGGCACAACAGTATTGAATTGTTGTTATGAATTATTTAATGGTCTGGGTTTGGCCTCATATCCCCCTTGACATATTGTATTTTTCTTGTTTATCAATAAATTCTCCTTAAAGTCACTTCCCATGATAACAATACTAGAATGAGACGGACTTTGCGGCCAAATTATTAAAAAAAAAAAAGAGTAAAAATAAATCATGCTAGACAATTACAGACTTTGGCTGTTGAGTAAGATTTTTTTGACCGAAAAGGAACACGAAGTTTGTACACCAAATCTGTTTGTATGCGTGCAAATGTGTGTGAAAATTCATGTCCAGACAGAGTCGTGAAAACGTAGGCATTAAACACTCTGCAACAATTTCCTACCTCTATGGCGTTATGAATGAATGGAAAGGAATATATGGCCGGCTTCTTCTGTGTTGTTCTAGTAAAGATCAAACACTACTAGTGCTTTGTTTTCTTTGCCCAACTCTATAGGGGTTATCAAATTCAACTTTTGTTTTTAAACATGATCCACACATGCTAGACAAAGAGGTGATAATTTGCGACCCGTACACGACATAGATATAAGATTAATAATTAATATTGTTATATTATATTGATAAATTTATAACTTTAAAAACAAATTATGACGAATAGTGTGAGAGTTTTTGTAATATTATATTATGATTTTTGTATTGTTTTGTGTTTTATAAACTTATATTTTATGCGTTGATTAGCGTATGAGTTAATATGAACACGACACAAAATAAATAAATAAACTAGAAAAGGAGGCATTGCCCTTTTCCCCAAATGCAAGGTTGATAAATACCGAACCTACATCAATGGAGAGGAAAAAGACCAAAAAGTTGGATTTCTTTTGCACCAATTGACACCTAATTAAGCGACGACTCTTTGACAAAATGGAATCTCTCCTTCTGTTCCCTTTTCTATTGGTGCCTTGATAGCAACGACATTTTCACTATAAAACTGCCTCGTTTCTGGCATTTAATCTTGTTCTTTTCGCTTCCTATCATCTCATTGTTTTCAACTTGGTGTTCACCGTACGTCTCGATGGAAGACGAAGATTATGTTCCGATGGAAGCCAAGGATTTTTACAAGATTTACGTTAAAGCAGGCGCGTTGTCGCCGGAGATTGTGAAGAATCCGGAGATACAAGAAGAGGATAGCGAGAGTCCTAATTTCACAGAAAGTACTAGCAAAAATGTAGTCGTCAACGATGTTTATGTTGCTGTTGGCAAAGATGACACAGATGTTCTGAAATGGACGCTTGAGAATGCTGCTTCCTCCGGTAGTACTCGAGTTTTTCTTGTCCATGTCTTCCCTCCGGTCACCCACGTCCCCACACCCGGTAACACCAGTTCACCTGTTAATGTTTTTATTGTCCATTTCTGTCCATGCTGTCTATTATGTTTATGGGATTCTGATCAAACGCTTCATTCATTCATCAAATATCTTTTTTTCGGGTTCGGATATGTGATCAAACCACCATGTATACATCAAATTGTTTTTCCTGATCACCAATCCTAAGTAATGTCTCACATTTTCCTGTCGTCAAATGTTGATAGTTGGAAGGTTAGCAAGGAGCCAATTAAACGACGATCAAGTGCGATTATATGTTAAAGAAGAGAGTAACAAGAGGAGTAACCTCATGCAGAAATACGTGAACTTGTGCAATGATGCCAAGGTGTGGATTTACTCCGCCCCGCGTAGTTCATGTTTTCAAACAGCAGGATTCCATATAATTGGTGATGATGAAAACTTCTGCTTTCAATGTAATTGCAGGTAACCGCGGAAACAATACTCCTCGAGAGCAATTGCACAGAAAAATCAATTGTTGAACTTATTCCTGTTCTTAGCATTACTCACCTTGTCATAGGAACAAAAAGGCATTCAAGGTGCGTAGCAGCGTAGGCCAGTTATTTATTTTTCCCAGCATGAATTTATCATGAAGACGAGACTCATGTGGGAATCATCTTTATTAGTAGGTCTCATATGAGAGATGCGATCAACAATGTGTTCAGTAGGTATATTACATCCAAAGCAGTGTGAATTAGGCATTCAATTAACGGGGTTAAATTATGTTGTGTAGGCCAGCGAGAAAACAATTGTTGTTAGGGGAATTTGTCAAGAACAATGCACCGGACTTTTGTGAGGTTAGCATCGTTCATAAAGGCAATAAGGTGGAGGTCAATCATCAAGTAGATGGTCCAACAACGCCAGAAAATACTCGTCACTTTGAAAAAACCCTTCTCTTTTCATGCTTTCCAGGCAAGTTCAATTCAGAAATCTACTACTTTTACATATACAGGCTACATATATATTGCCATCAGGTTTTGCAGTACTAGTATCCGAAATGAATCTCTCGTTCACTCTCAACTTTTTCGGATGGACAGTTCGCGGGAAGGCCAAGATTTCTTAATATCAACCGCAAAAAGCTGTGACAGAGATGAAACAAACTCAGCTATGCATTATGGACAATGGGAAGACTCCATACTCAAGAGATGATGAAGTGGAAAACTCGAAAGCTAGCCAGCTGAAAATGCACTGCTGGTATTGTCATGTTAGTCTACAATAATTCTAGTCTCATACGCAGTAATGAGATGAGCTCGGAATTAGAGTTAAGAACGCAAAACGATTGAAGATTGAAAATTGAAGAAAAACAACGGAGGATTTTCAAATTTATAACTGAAACCAAACATTATTTTATGATGTAGAGATTATGTAAGAGTGAAATGAGTTCACATCTTCCATTTAAATTTCTAATATTGCTTTGTTGATATATTCATATAAATTGTCCACGATGTGTTCTCATGTTTCTGAAAATGTCGTATTACAACTCCGAATGGCTTCCAGCTGCTAAATAATTAAAAGAAACAGCAGGCAGCCCAAGAACGACATGGCAACAAGCCATGGATGGAGAAAGAACGCCTGTTAGTCAGATATAAAAGAGGACATTATGCAGAAAGGAAATATACAATAAAAAGAAGCACATAAGGAGAACAAGAAGAAAAAGCTAAAACTCACACCAGTGGTGGATCCAACATAGCGGAAAAATTGCCTCAGATGAATCGTGGTCATCCGGCTGGTGGTAACCACTTCGTGCACAAGGGTTGCCTTGCAGAGGCGGCGCAGAGGGGGAGCGAAAGGTGTAATCACACAGGGCTCCCAAATTTGAAGGGCCCCAAAAATTTTTGGTATCTTATATTTATATGTAATAATGTTATATATTAAAAAATGCTTTTATTAGCACTTTAAAATCTTATAGTGCACTTTTATAAGAATTTTTTTTCTTTCTAAATATAAAAATTTGAAATGCACAATGAGATATTAGGAGTGTTAATAACAACACCTTAAAAAATGATTTTCTTTTCAATTTTATTAATTATATAATAATGCTATATATTCAAGTGAAACTCTAAAGTTAGAGTTTTTGAAGTTTTTTCTTTCTTTATTTGGTTGCTTAAGATTGAACTGTTTTTTATTATTTAGTGAAGATTATGTTTATAACTCTTTTTACTTATTTAATGACACTTGTAAACTTATAATCAATGAGTCCTAAAGGTTGTTTTGATTTAAATTATTATTTTCTAATACCAATATATTGTCATATTTAAAAATATATATATCTTAAAAAGGGGCCCTTTTATAAATTTCGCACAGGGCCCCCGAAATCTCAGAGACGGTCATGTTGCCTTGCAGTGACCATGTTTTCTCCGAGTCAATTTAACCAGGTTTATGTGACATGTTCTTTTCTTTCATTGCCTTAGACTTGGGCTAACTGTTTTCGGTGCGTTGAAACTAAAATATAAAATCACATCATACCATGTTGTGAATTAATCGCAACCCCGAACCAATAAAAGTTGAAGTTTGTATTATAAAATTAATTGATAATATGAGAAGTAGCTAAACTACTCACAAGCATATGCAAATGGGGAAGATGAACAAGAAATTGCTAATCCCAACCTTTCACACGGTAATTGTAGTGAGGCGTATAGTGAAAGCGAGTCGGGTTTAGTCTCATTAAAGCTAATTCTAAGGGCTGATTTAGTATAGTGAAAGCGAATCGGGTTTAATCTCATTAAAGCGAGTCGGGTTGTAAGAATAAGCTCATTTGTACTGTTTCACGTTTTCAGTTTTTTTTTATCCAAAACTATAAAAATAAGTTGTTTTTAAATGTTTACCAAACATTTTTTTTAGGATAAATTATATAGTAGCCCCTCAGGTTTGAGGTCTATTGCAATCTTATACAATATCTTTAAAACATTTCACTTTCATACCTCAAGTACTATTTTATTTCAATTTCATACAATCGTTACATTTTCCATCCATGGATCTGTTAAATGTTGACGTGGCTGCCACATATATGCCACGTGGCTGCCAAATGTCTGCCATGTGGCAAATAAAATAATTTTTTAATTTTTTTTTAAAAAACCTGTCTGCCACGTATCTTTTTTTTTTCTCTTTCTTCTTCTTCTTCTTCTTCTGGGTTCGGTCCTTTTTTTTTTTTTTTTCTCTTCTTCTTCTTCTTCCTCCTCCTCCTCATCCTCCTCCTCCTTCTTATCTTCTTCTTCTTCCTCCTTCTTCTGGGTTGGAGGGGGTTCGATAATTTTTTTTTTTTCTTCTTCCTCCTCCTCTTTCTTCTTCTCTTCTTCTTCTTCCTCCTTCTGGTTCGGTCCCTTTTTTTTTTTTTTTTCTTCTTCTTCTTCTCTTCCCCTCTTTCTTCTTCTCTTCTGGGTTTGGTCCCTTACTTTTTTTTTTTTTCTTCTTCTTCTTCTTCTTCTCCTTCCTCCTTCTTCTTCTGGGTTCGGTCCCTTTTTTAATTTTTTTTCTTTTTTTTTTCTTCTTCTTCTTCTTCCTCCTCCTCCTTTTTCTTCTTCTCTTCTTCTTCTTCCTCCTTCTTCTTCTGGGTTGCAGGGGGTTCGGTCCTTTTTTTTTTCTTTTCTTCTTCTTCTTCTTCTTCCTCCTCCTCCTCTTTCTTCTTCTCTTCTTCTTCTTCCTCCTTCTTCTGGGTTGCAGGGGTTCAGTCCCTTTTTTTATTTATTTTTTCTTCTTCCAATTTTAGGTTTTTTTAAAAAAATTTAAAAAATTGTTTTATTTGCCACGCGACAGACATTTGGCAGCCACATGACATATATGTGGCAGCCACGTTAGCATTTAACAGATCCATTGATGGAAAATGTAACGGTTGTATGAAATTGAAATAAAATAGTACTTGAGGTATGAAAGTGAAAAGTTTTAAAGATGTTGTATAATATTACAATAGACCTCAAACCTTAGGGGCTACTATGTAATTTACCCTTTTTTTTAACTCAGTTTTTTTTTATACCCACTTTTTATAAAAGCATATCAGTATCAAACTAGTATTAAACCGCATGAAACTAGAGACTGGACAATAAGTAAGTCCATCCTAACTAATCCTAACTAAGGAGGCCAAACAGACGGGGCTTTAGATTAATCCGACCATAAGTTAGTCCTTGCTTTAGGTAGGCATCACTGTTATATATATATATATATATATAAGGAATTGCTTAAGGGGAGGGATCCCCATTTTTTCAAAAAAATGGGGACATGCTCCTCATCGTTGGATTTGAATTAAATGAAATCCTGTGGTTGAGATTCTATGGCCTGTGTTTTAATCTCAACCACACAATTTCATTAAAGTCAATCTAACGGTGGGGAGCGTGTCCCCATTTTTTTTAAAAAAATGGGGATCCCTCCCCTTAAGCTCCCTGATATATATAAAGCTTTTAAGGGAATGGATCTCCATTGTTTTATAAAAATGAAGATTAATTGTGAGGTTCATACCACATTGAATTTTAAATATCCGAACTGTCCATTTTCAAGTTGTACCTCATAGATCATCATTGCAATATATTAACTAGATCGGAAATATTTAAGATATCTAATTGGGTTCAAAGAAATGAACGAATACTTTGTTATATAAGAAACAATGAAATTTAATGTTGATAATTAAATAGGCAAATGGTTTCGGATTGAATTGAATTTTTGCAAGGATGATCTATGAATCGAGACTAACAAAATGGGCGGTTCGAATAATTGAAATTCGATATGAAGTGAGCCCCACACCTAATCCCAATTTTTTTTAGTACATCAATATTTTTACACCATGTGGAGAGGGAGTTCGACTAAGCTACGCAATGAGCAGCCTAATTTGGTACCAAATTCGCCATCCATGAAATTCGAATAGAAAACCTCTAACTTTTAAACGAAAAAGAATATCATTAAACTATAATATTGAATAACCACTGTTATATATTTGAAAAAAAAAAAATTCAACCACTTGTTTAGGACAGTTGGTGTCCCAATTGTGTTTCGGGAACACCAAAAAATTTCTGAAAGCGAGAAAAGAATAATTAAATTATAAATTTGTAACCGCTTACCTATTAGTATTTCCTTTCTAACTTAAATTTTAAAGGAGTTTTAATGAAACACTTCTAGTACCGTTTACTTTTAACGAAAAAACACATTTTTACCTTTTTCTATCATTTTTATTAAAATTAAATTTATTTTTTGAACTTCTCATTAGTTTTCTTAAATTTTAATTAAAAAATAGGCCGTAAAGACAAAAGCCCAAAAGACTTTGGCTGCTTCGAAACAAAAGATCAGAGAAAAACTTAAAATCCAAAATTCCCAATTTGGCTTTCTTCTCCCTTACGGTTTTCTGCCGTCAGAAACCCTAACAGATCAGAAACCCTAGAACTGCAATCCGACCTCTGCAATTCTATCATTGATGTACGCCTCCGACAATCGATACGCCGACGTCAACTCCTACCGTGAGCACCGCAGGTACTAATTACCCCCCAAAGTCCATTGCTTTCTGATTCAGATCCCTGCTTCTAACTTTTCCCCAATTTCGATTCAAGTCTTATGTTATGAAGTTTTTTAATTTATGTTTGGTTTTATGTAATTGTGCATCTGCAGTGACCTAGTGGGTCCAGCGCCTGCGGTGGCGCCACAGTTAGGCACCGCCTATGGCCGTGGCGGTGGGGAAGCTCCGTATGGGGGCCCGCCGCCTGCGGTTGCTTCATATTCGGTAAGAGTGGGTGGACCGACATTGGGTCCAGGAGACTTTAATGGGTACCCGCCGTTCCAGCCCCCTTTCGAGCGGTTCAATATCGGCCGAGGTGGTGGTAATGGGAGCTTTGGTGGTAGAGCGTCGAATGGTCATGTTGGTGGTGGAAGGGGTCGTGGTGGTATTGGTGGTGGTGGGAGATTTGGTGGCGGTGGCAGGGGTTTTGATGGAGGCCGTGGTGGCGGTAGGAGCTTTGGTGGTAGTCGTGGTGGAGGTGCGGGTTTTGGCGGTGGGCGTGGAGTTGGTGGAAGAGGAGGAGGTAGGCATGGTGGCTCGTCAAGAGGAGACTTGGATAATATTATGCTTCCCAAGCAAGATTTTGGAAACTTGGTACCTTTTGAGAAGAACTTCTATGCTGAAAGTCCTTCTGTGAGGGCAATGTCAGAACATGATGTTATGGTGTATCGTACGAGGCGGGAGATTACCACCGAAGGGCATGATATCCCAAAACCGATTCAGATGTTTGAGGACACGGATTTCCCTGGTATTTCCCTGCCAATGAATGCTACAGCATTTATTTATTTATTTTAATTGAAATTTTCTTCTTGTGCTAGTAGCTTACATTGGTGTAATATGATGTGTTAGATTACTGCCTAGAGGTGATTGCGAAATTGGGTTTTGTTGAACCAACACCAATTCAGGCTCAAGGATGGCCAATGGCATTAAAGGGTAGAGATTTAATTGGCATTGCCGAGACTGGTTCTGGTAAGACTTTGTCTTATCTGCTGCCGGCGCTGGTACATATTAGCGCACAGCCTCGGTTAGGTCAGTATTGATTATCATTCCTGTTTAGGTTGTGACTATTTGTTTTCTAGCAATTGACCCTGAATTTGGTTATTCTTTTGTTATAAACTTCAGCTCAGGGAGAAGGTCCTATGGTGTTAGTATTAGCACCTACTCGAGAATTGGCAGTTCAAATTCAAGAAGAAGCTTTAAAATTTGGTTTACGTTCCAATATTAGGAGTACTTGCATATATGGCGGTGCTCCAAAAGGACCCCAAATACGCGATCTTAAAAGAGGTTTGTATTTACTTATGTCCATTTGGCAGTTCATAAATAGGGGCCTACATCTAATGTCTTCCATGTGGCAGGGGTTGAGATTGTGATAGCTACGCCTGGCGACTGATAGATATGTTGGAAGCTCAGCATACAAATTTGCGAAGAGTGACTTACCTAGTTTTAGATGAGGCTGATAGGATGTTGGACATGGGATTTGAGCCGCAGATAAGGAAAATTGTTTCTCAAGTATGTTACTTTACATCATTTCTTCTGCTTCACCGATAAAAAGCTGAAAGTTAAACTTTTTTGTTTGGTCAAACAGCTAGCAGCTTAACAATAATATTAGTATTTAAATACAACACATAACTGCTTTAGAAAATTTTGTTATGAAACTTTGTCAAATATTCTGTGACGTACAGATGTGCTTGAGCACATGAACTTTGTTACATGAGGGACTTTGCTGAGCACTCCGTAGTTAACCTTTTTATTACTGCTGACACGATTTTGATGTAAATACGAATTTGGCAACTTATGTAAACACTTGTAGTGTTGTTTGAAAGAAGAACTTAGGAATTGCATTTGAGCAAGTTACTTTTCTTGCAGACCCGACCAGATCGGCAGACTTTGTATTGGAGTGCCACGTGGCCAAGGGAGGTTGAAAGTTTAGCAAGGCAGTTTTTACGTAACCCATATAAGGTATCTTTTGTAGATTTAACCATATCAATATGATATTCACATATCAATATGATATTCACCTTTCTTGTGCAGATTTGTGTCTCTGTGAATTAAAATGTGATATAACTGACATCAATTGTTTTATAATTAGGTAATCATTGGATCAGCAAGCCTTAAAGCAAACCAATCCATAAACCAAGTTGTTGATGTTGTGACGGAGGTGGAGAAATACAATAGGTCTGTCTCTTGAGCATAACATCCGGTTACAGTATAAGGGTTGATTTTTATTTTTTATTGGCTTTCTTATGAACTTCAAATTGTTTTGTTGGCAGGCTGATCAAATTGCTCAAAGAAGCGATGGTTGGGAGCCGAATTCTGATTTTTGTGGAGACGAAAAAGGGATGCGACCACGTTACTAAACAATTGAGGATGGATGGATGGCCAGCTCTATCCATCCACGGTGATAAAAACCAGGCCGAAAGGGACTGGGTCTTGGCTGAGTTTAAAAGTGGCAGGAATCCTATAATGACTGCCACTGATGTGGCTGCGCGAGGTCTTGGTAGGATCACTTTGTGCTAGAATTCTTAGGTGTTTGGGTCTTGAATTTGAAATATGGCGAGTCGGCCGGCTGCTGTCCAGTTCCTGATCATATAATTTGTGGTTTGGGTGCGAAGGCAGGTGCCATCACACGTGATGATTGGGACTTCAGTTCACTTATCCCTCCGTAAGCATCACGCTTTCTACTTCACTGGGGCTTCATAAGTTGGAGTGAGGGGAAATATTAGGTTTCTCATACCAGTAGAATGTCCCCTGTGACAACTCTTTAGGTGCTTACCTTATTTGAATTTCATGTTACATGGACACAAGGACCAAGGTTTCACTGGTAAGACTGGGGTAACTTCCTAAGATTGTTTGGTTGGTACCCCCCCCCCCTTCTTTTCAAGTGTCTAAGTAACATGGTTGAAATTATTGCCACCCATCCACGGTTACAGAGCTGGTTATCCTTGCAGCCCGGTTGACTCACGCATGCTTGTTCATTTGATTGAATATGGGAAACTGGTGGTTGTGGTGAAGCTGCTCCTTATCCCTGCTTAATTAAGGTGGGCACATTTACATGATGAATGTGTTGTCTTCAATTTGGTCTCCAGATCTCAGGGGTGCAGGGATAAGGTTGCTTGCAGATTTCTCCATGTTTTGTATGATGTGCATCGTTTGACCTAACTTTCTGCTATGTTTTGTTGTAGATGTGAAGGACATAAAATGTGTGATCAATTATGATTTTCCATCAAGCCTTGAGGATTATGTTCACAGAATCGGACGAACTGGACGTGCAGGAGCAGCAGGAACTGCTTTAACTTTTTTCACGCACGCAAATGCAAAATTCACTAGGGATCTAATCAAGATCCTTCAAGAAGCAGGTCAGGTTGTGAGCCCTGCATTAGCTGCAATGGCCCGATCAAGTGGTAGTTTCGGAGGTAGGTTCAGTTTCCTCTTTGGATGTGGTGTCTATATATGTATGTACGGTTTTAGTGGGATGGTGAATAATGTGGTCGTCTGTTTTTGGTTTTCAATCAGGATCCGGTGGGAACTTCCGCAATAGAGGACGAGGAGGAGGGTTTGGGAACCGGGGCATGAGTTCTGGTTCAAATACTGTTCCTATCGGTTACAAGAGACCATGGTAGTTTGTGTGGTATCAGAATTCACCTGGCTATATTATGTTCTTTTGGTTTGAAACAATGAAGGAAAGAACGTTGTGTCGAAAACATGCTATTTTTGGTACGATTGATTTGTGTTGCAATATCAAATAGGTGTTTATGTTTATCTGTAAGTTTCTCTGAGAAAAGAGGGACCGAGTTGTAAGATAATTGGAGACGAGTTTTGAGCAAAGATATTTGAAAGTCATCGTGTCCTCATCCTACCAAGTGTAAATAATACTTGGTTCTTTTTTTTTTTTTGGTGTGAAATGGTAATACTTTCCTTATAATTAAGGCTGTTTTATGTCTAAATGGTGATGGAGGCTATATGTTTAGGCTATTTTTCAATGTAAAATGTCCCAACCGTGGAGTACCAAATAAATAAATATGGAGTGCCGTTATGCTCACCAGTCTTATTTTCTCACTCATTTTTAATGAAAATTTTAGGAAAATTTGTAAAAGTAGCCATATTTTAGTCTCTATTTTAGTTTTATGATAATTCTAACCAAAACTTGATATAAAAATACTAATATACCCTTAATATTAGGATTTCTTACAATAAAAACAAAACCTCCTTCAAACTCTCTCGCAACCTTCTGGTTTCTTACCTTAAACTAGAAGAGCACTCTTTGTTGATTTTGCATAATTAAGCAGTAGGGATGTTCTGACAAAAAAAATAAAAGGCAGCATGATGCATCAGCCTTTTCAAATTGTCCAAGAAACAATGGTATGATTGGTCAATTGTAGCTTCCATTTCCTAAATCAACTTTTTGATATTTCATATCCTGGTTTTAGTCAAAACTTTAATGATTTTCATGTTCCAATGCATGTGAATATATTATCAATCCTTAAGCAAATCAACAACCTTAACGATTCAGTTCCTGATTAATTTTTATGTTTATTTTACTGGGTTATCTTCAATTTTCACGTTATCTGATTATATTTGAATATCTATATCTACTATATATCTATGTGTGTATATATATATATATATAGATAAAAATTAAAAATTAAAAAAAAATAAAAAAATAAAAAAATAAAAAAATAAAAAAAAAAGAGTAAGAAATGGAAGGGTTCGATATTAGAGGTACTGGGTAGTATTCAAGAGGCTACCTCTTTTATGCTTCAAGATCTCAACTAATTGTTGTTGTTTCATGGTGAAGAGCAATGGGGAATTTTTGTCATTAAAGGTATATTAGTATATTTACATTAAGTTTTGGTTAGAATTATCATAAAACTAAAATGGTGGCTATAATTATATATGAGGTCTAAAATATGGTTACTTTTCCAAATTTCTCAAAATTTTAAGAGAATTGTTATTAATACTTTAAAAATCTCATTTCGCAATTCAAACTTTCTATAATTAGAAAGAACATAACACTTGTGGAGAGTGTATAATGAGATTTTTTGAGTGCTAATAACAGTTCCCAATTTTAATATCAAATTTAACTTCATGTAAAAAGACTTCAAAAACCTTGTTAAAAATTAATCCTTTAATATATTCTTTGTAGTAAAAGAAAAAGGAATGGAAAAAAATTAAAAAAACTTAGAAATGAGAAACGAATCACCATCTCACTACTTTTTAACTCTTTCATCCGCTCTACGTCTTCTATGAAAACTTTTCCGTCCACCCCACCCACCTCTTGTTTTCTACTGACTGTTCAAGCCTTCATTCGGAATTGGAATTCAGGAAGAAATATGGACAAGAATCTTAAATCCAGATTTGGTACGGAGAGAAAGAGAGAGAGTGTGGAACAGAGAAATGAGAGAAAAAAGGAAGGTAACTTTCCCAGCGGCAAAGAGAAAAGAAGATGTCGTCGTCATATGTGGAGCCTGGTTGTTGCTTTCGGCTGAGTTGGGCAGGGACATTCGTAGCTGTTCAATTTTCCTAAAATCTCCAAAACTCATTCTTTATATTTATTTTATTTAGAACTTAAAACTGTTAGGGATATTTTAGGAATATAAGTAGGTGGGAAGAGAGTGTTTGGTTTTTTTAAACATTTTATCATGGGTGAGAATATAACATGGGTGGAAAAATAAGACTATAGGGTGGGCATAGTAGCACTCTAAATATGGAACGATGACGTTCTATTCCAATAAAATAATGTCATGAGTAGGTCTCTCATTATTATAGTATTGTATTATTGACTCGGAACGCCATTTAATGGTAAACCCATTGCATGCAAGTTGTTCTTGTAATTTGAGCGAAGTTCCACCTCCGTTTGCAGTCTAAGTACGTTCCCGGTTTAATAATTGTTGTAATTCTGAAATAATCACTTGAGCTAGTTAAGTTAGCACTTGAAAGGCATTTGGGTGTTATATGTGCCCCTCTACAAACCTCCCCCGAACTACAAGGATAAAATCATTATTCGGTTTCTCTCTAAAATACATGTGAGTTAGGTGAGTTGGCTAAACGAGTGTGATTGTTCTTGCACCAAAAGTCCGCAGATGTAAAAAATGTCTTCTCGGAAAATAACAAAATGTCGAGGATCCAAAGAAATACTTGTTTCAAGTTCTACTTTGGTGTTGGATTTTGGTGGCCAGTGTTGAATTATTGAAGCAATATATGAGTGCTTGTGCTTTCATGGGGCCGGGGTGGGGTTTCCACATTTCAACACAGAAAAAAAGTCGAGCAAGTTGACTGGTGGTGTAGTCAGGATCACTTATATGCTTATAACAGAACGTGATGAGTTGAGAACTCTGCATTTTTCCTTTTTTTCTTTTTACAGGTTTTGGTATCGCGTTAGATGTCATTGGGTGTATATTTATGCGTAAGCACCTCTGTCACGTGACGCAGTACTTTTTATATTTCTTTCATAGCACCATTTGTTTTGCTTCGTTTTGTAAATCTTTAAATTGACAAAACTTCAGTTGTCACTAGATGTATGAGTACATGTATTTTTATCTCCCAATGCATAACTATGTATTTTTTTGGATTTTCTTTTAAGTCTAGAGATGGAAAAAAAAATTTAGACCGTTTGATAACTATTTTGTTTTCAGTTTTCATTTTTGAAAAACTGAAAAATCGTTTGACAACTACTTTTAACTTTTAGCTTTCCGAAAAAATGAAAATTAAAAACCAAAAAGTGAAAACTAGTTCCTTTGAGTTTTCAAAACTATATGAAAAGCTAAAAACTAAGAACGAATTGGTTATCAAACGACCTTGAATTTTCTTAAGTGCGACAGAATATATTTGTCGCTATGATGAGTGATATGTATTGAGAGACCTAAACCAGTCACAATTTAGTTACAACAGTAAATAGTTAGTTGTGGTATTTGTGTAATTAGTTGTAGAAGATAAGGTCACTTATGTAAAGAGTCTTTGTGACTATATATATCTCTGTGTACTGTCAATTAAAATAATGAATGAGAAATATCTTCTTCATCAGTTTCTACATGGTTTCATCGCCAAAAGCCTTCCGGCATTCGATCCTCCATTTCTTCCGCTTTACTTCTCTGATTTCTGTTCACTTTGATCAGATTTCTTCGTTGATTTGGTATTCTGATCACTGTTCTTGATCTGTCATGGTGTTTTTTGTCTACAATTTCTTTCAATTTTGAGTCGGTGATACATCTGAGTTTTCTTACCATTTCGTTGATTTGGTGATTTTTTGATCGATTTCTCTCTTTCTCGATCGATTTCTTGATCGATTTCGTGATCGATCTTGTGTTTTCTGTCTTTGATTCTTCCTTCTCTCTCGCCTCTTGCGCTTGTATATCATGGCCTCCCCCTCTGACTCTTCGTCTCCGTCGCCAAACCCTAATTTCTCTGCAAATCCTCAGAACTCGTATATGTCTCTTACGATCCAGAATATTGGTAGCATGGTGCCAATCAAGCTCAAACACACTAATTACCTTCCATGGCGTGCGTTATTTGCTCCGATCTTGCGCCGATACAAACTTCTTGGCCTCGTCGACGGTACTGAGCCATGTCCGGCTCCCATTCTCCCTGATCGCTCCCTGAATCCAGCATTTGAGCAGTGGTTTGAAAAAGATCAAAACCTATTGATTTGGCTCAACTCGACTTTATCCGAAGATCTCATTCCCTTCACGGTAGGGGTGTCCACATCTCGAGAACTTTGGCAGAAGCTTGAACAACGCTTTGGTGGCGTCTCTGAAGCTCACATTCACCAGCTTCGTTCTCGTCTTCAATCGATTAAAAAAGGCTCTCAATCGATCTCGGCATATCTACAGCAAATCAAGGAAACTTCGGATTCTCTCAATGCTGCTGGCGCCACTGTATCTGATCGTGATCTCATTGCTGCAACGCTTCACGGTCTTCCTGATGAATTCGAGTCCTTCATTGACTCCATCATGCTGCGATTGTCTTCTACTTCTCTTGATGAATTGCATGGTCTGTTGCTGACCAAAGAGCTTTCCATGGCTCGTCGAAAGCACACTCTGTCCACCACTGCTACGGAGCCCTTTCAAGCATTCTCTGTTCAGTCTCAAGCACCTTTGCTCCCAACGCCTTCTTCACAGGCCTTTGCTGCATATAGTCAGCCTCTTCAATCTTCTTCTCGGTACAATTCTAATAGAGGCCGGAACAATCGCAATTTTTTCAGAGGCAATCGAACTGTCAGTAATTCACGTGGCAACTCCACTGGTACTTATCGTCCAAGTCAGCCTCGTGCCTTTCATCAAGGCTCCCGATCTCACAACCAAGGTTCTTCATCAAATCACAAGACCACCTGTCAAATATGTGGTTCCACCAGCCACAAAGCAATTGATTGCTTTGACAGGATGAACCCTGAGATCTTTGGACGGGTGCCACCAGCCAAACTTGCAGCTCTTTGTGCTCACTACTCATCCAAACCATCCCCATCTTGGCTATTGGATTCTGGAGCCACCTCACATATCACGAATGACATTGCAAATCTCTCTGTTGCCTCTCCTTACACTGGTGAAGACAAGGTCTATATAGGAGATGGTAAAGGTCTGCCTATTCACAATATTGGTATCTCTTCTTTAGATACATCTCATACTTCCTTTAAGTTGCGTAATGTCTTACATGTACCTGCTATGAAACACAACTTATTATCTGCCTATCAATTTTTAAAAGATAATAATTGTGCCTTGACTCTTGACCCTGATGGATCCACTGTAAAGGATCGAGTTTCGGGGAAGACGCTTTTGCGGGGACGAGTTGAAGATGGCTTCTATCCTCTTCAAGGCTCTAGTCCTCCCACCTCCTCATCACCCTCGGCTTTAATAAGTGTCAAAGCTCCTGTACAGATTTGGCACCGAAGATTGGGTCA